ATTGATTTGTTTTAGAAGTGAACAAGTAATTACTATTCTTGACACATGATGGACACAGTTTATTGCTATTGATTTGTTTTAGAAGTGAACAAGTAATTACTATTCTTGACACATGATGGACACAGTTTATTGCTATTGATTTGTTTTAGAAGTGAACAAGTAATTACTATTCTTGACACATGATGGACACAGTTTATTGCTATTGATATCTTTTAGAAGCGAACAAATAATTACTATTCTCAACACATGACGGACACAGTTTATTTCTATTTACTTGTTTTAGAAGTGAACAAGTAATTAATATTCTCAACACATGATGGACACAGTTTATTTCTATTGATCATTTCAATGTTATAACAAAATGGTGGAAGTATAGGACCTAAAGTTTAGAAAGTATATATGTAGTCATAAATCAGACACTCAATCTTGGATTAAAAAAGTAAATTACTCACTATTAGTATAATTCAGACTTCTTAAAAAATTACATTGCTTAAGTATCATGTTGTATAAATAAAATTTTGAATTGACAAAATAAGTCATTTATATACATGGTATATAAATATATATATTTTTTTTCTTAAACATCCTTCTTTCTATATACATCTTTTGTATAAAAAAGTTATTAATTGACAGCACTGACAAAAACTTCTAGGATAGTTATAATTTGGGTTATAGAACCTCTGGTGATACAGTCTTATCTAACATTATTATAATTTGGGTTGTAGAACTTCTGGTGATACAGTCTTATCTAACATTGTTATAATTTGGGTTGTAGAACTTCTGGTGATACAGCCTTGTCTAACATTGTTATAAAAAGGAAAGAACTAATAAACCTATATCTTTTGTTGTTTTTTAGTAATTCTTGCATTATTTTAAATTGTCTACTAAACCTCTCAATTGATACTGTGTAATAGAAAACACACATTCTGTTCGGATACTTCTTGCTTGATAATTTGCAAAATATCATACTTTTTGTACTTGAAAAGTTTTTCAATAGAAGATCAACTGTTTATTAAAATATAGAATTATTGAGCTTATACACAAAAATATTTGAAGAAGTTTCTACAAACAAGTAGAAATTTTTATGTTTATTTAGGGATAAACAAGTAAATATGTTTAAAAACTATGCCACACTTGGTTTTCCTAAGATCATTGGGTGTAAAATAAAAATATAACTTACTCAAGTAAATATTTAGTTGAAAAATATATAAGTGAAATTATAAGACTGGGTTGAGCAGAATGTAGGTACAAATTGAAATAGTTCCTTATCAATAAATGTGCACGAAATAACAAGTATTCCTGATCACAAGCACCTGTAGTTTTATCTTTTGTATACACTGATTTTTTAGTGCCAGATATTAAGGTCTAATGTAGAAAAGCTTCTTGTACCACTAAGTAAGGAACTGCAAAATGCTTTGGGCACTAGTGAAGTATATTGAAATGTTATTGTCCATAAAGGCACCAGTAGACATAATACCACAAGAACAATGTTTACTCTCTTGCCTGTAATACAGGGGAGGGCTCCTTGTCTACAAGACGGAAGGCTTCCAAAAACTCATTGAAATCAATAAATCCGTCTTTGTTAATGTCTATACTCTTGGCCAAATCATCAATCTCTTCTTGTGACATAGCTGTCCCTAAGTGTTGACTTAGTAGATGGCATGCATCTGTAAATTCTTCCATGGAGATAAGACCTACAAACACACAGAAATTACATTAAGTCTCAGTTTAAGTAACAAAGCCTAAAATATGACCTAAACACTTATCAAAGCAGTGTAAGAGATTAAGTAATGTTAAGATATTAGACTAGGCCTGTCATGTTACTCAAAATAATCTGCAGTTACTGCAGATGACAAACATGCTAAATTAGACCAAGACAGTTAAAAACAAAAGCCATGAAATGTCAGCTTGAATAACTATATAGTTATAAAGTAGGTAACAAAAACATTTAACTAGACTAGTACAAAGAAGCAGGTTAAGTAACATTAAGACTTGAAACTAATCTTGTGATACAAAAGAAAATAATCTGCAAGGGGGTCAATATTGACTACAAATACATTATATTTGAACTAGATAAAGAACAAAATCCACAAGAGTTCAGGCTAAAATACAAAAAGACAGATATAATCAATTGTACTGGGGTTAGATATACAAGAAAAATCACATAGGGTCAGGATAAATAACAGAGGTTTAAATGGTAAACTGCAACAGATTGATGTAACCAATTACCAGAAAAGCTCATAGGATCAGAATAACTAACAAATTATTCTATACAAAGCAGAGGAAGCTACAAAGAATCAATATAATCATTATCACTGGATTAGACACAAAACAAAATAAACCATTGGTTTTAGGAAGATCCTAAGAAATTAAGGAGTACAAAAAAGAATGAAATATAATCAATAAGATTGGCCAACTAACCTGACCCATCTCTATCGATAAACCTAAATATGGTTTCCAGAGTATCCTTGCTTCGGTATAACGTTTCCAGTAGTGATGGTTCATTCTAAGAAAATGTAGATTGTTGAATGTAAGGTTTATCACCAAATTAAAAACATTTCTTCTGGATATATTAACTAACTGTTATAAGTATACTGTTAAAAACATTGTAGGAGACATAACTGTTGAATAAGTGTTCCGCATGATGTGAAAAAAACATGGATGATTGATAATAAAGAATAAGTTGACATGTCTAAATTAAAACCTTCTCTAGTTTATTTTGTACAATGTTTCAAGTAGACTCCTTTCATTAGGCAGTAGAAATCTTGTTACAATGGAACTAGGCTCAGAGATAATCGTTAAAACGTAAAATAATACAAAAGTTTAATTATGTGTTTAGCAGTGAAAGTGGAAAGTAATTAAAATAACTAAAATTGGATTTATATATATAAAAGAGGAAATTAATGTCAATTTGCAAAATAATAGCCTAGTAAAATAATAATTCCGGGAAATAGCTATGGTAAGGAAAAGACTTTTGCATAGGTAAGGTTAATAAGGGAGATTTAACCAGGAGTAAAAGGTAATGTAAATGCGTCTAAAGAAAAAGTTTAAAGGAATAAAATTAGAGAAAGAGTTTTATAATTATTTGAAAGTAAATCCCTTGTTTATACCATATAGGCTAATCAGTGTCAATGTGATATTACTTTTAATTTCTCCAGACTAATAAACATCAATGTGATATTAATTGTACTATCTGTAGGTTAATTAGCATCAGTGTGATATTTGTACTATCTCTAGACTAATCAACATCAGTGTAATATATGTGCTATCTCTAAGTTAATCAGAGTGAATGTGATATTTTTACTATATATGTCAACATTAGTGTAATATTATTTTTAATATTTAAACTAATCAACATCAGTGTAATATATGTGCTATCTCTAAGTTAATCAGAGTGAATGTGATATTAGTACTATCGCTAGGCTAATCAACATCAGTGTGATATTAATTGTAACTCTCTATAGGTTAATTAGCATCAATGTGATATTTTGACTGTCTCTAGTTTAATCAACATTAAGATTATAGTATTTGATCTTAATACACCATTCAGTCTTCACCTTATCATTCAAAGTAGTAGTTTGCTCAGGTGGTTAAATTCAAATCTGATTTCATTCCACAGCATTCAAGGAAGATAATTCAGACCAATCTCTAATAGTGGCTGGAAGTGTTTTCAGGGAAGATAATCTGCCCTCAGGCAAAATTGTATAGAACTACTTGCCTGTGTTGTCACAAACCACATGACCTCCTGCCATCAAAGGAGGCCTCCACCTGGTGACATCATTTGATCTCCATTAATTGACGACCCTAATGAGATGGCATCCTTTGCTCTCCACTGAGGCACTCCTTTTGTCATGATAGTAGGGTATACTAGTGAGGTGTTTATTTCTATGTGATTGTTAACTATTATAATTATCTTTCTTTACCTGATTTCCTCGGTGTGTATGGTACAAGTACATTTTTAATTAGGGAGCTTTTTCATTTGTTTAATGAAAGAAAGAAGTTCACATACTTGAACAATACTTTGGTTAATATTAAGCATTAAAATATTAGATAATGCCAGTTGACCTTCTGCAAAAGATCACCTGGAAACAGCCACTGTTTAAGATTGATCTGAATTATCTTCCCTGAAAACACTTCCAGCTACTATTAGAGATTGATCTGAATTATCTTCCCTGAAAACACTTCCAGCCACTATTAGAGATTGATCTGAATTATCTTCCCTGAAAACACTTCCAGCCACTATTAAAGATTGATCTGAATTATCTTCCCTGAAAACACTTCCAGCCACTATTAGAGATTGATCTGAATTATCTTCCCTGAAAACACTTCCAGCCACTATTTGAGATTGGTCTGAATTATCTTCCCTGAAAACACTTCCAGCCACTATTTGAGATTGATCTGAATTATCTTCCCTGAAAACACTTCCAGCCACTATTAGAGATTGATCTGAATTTTCTTATTTCCTTTCTTGTTTGAATTATAAATCATAAGTTTGGCTTACATGACTAGTGGGTCAAAATTTAAATAAATCAACAGCTATTCTCCGAAACATCTGGGTATTGTGTTTTTTCTATACTAACATTTAATATACTTGCTGATTGTGATGATAAATATATAAATAATGTTAGTGACTTATAAAATAGTTTTAACATAAATTGCACATAAAATATACATGCTAATAAAATGATGTATTTTCAGGTAAGATCTGCATTAGTCAGTGGTGCGATATTATGAAAATAGTGGTAGGTTTACATCTCCCGTGGAGACTGCTGTGTCCTAAGATCGCCAAGTTTGATGCAGTAACAGGAACAGTGGCTTACGAATCCACTTTTGAAGAATACACAATTCAGAATAACTTGGCTCAACAGGTTCGAAATGCCTTCTTACATTAATGAGTGTGTTATTGTTTAAGTGGACTTTATTTATGATAAATTATGTAGAACCAATGTCTTAACTCAAATGTCAAACTATATCACTTTGTTCTGTGCCAATAATTCTTACTATTATTTTGTAATATTTGAAATACTACAATTTTGCTCTTCACAGTTTGAGACATTATCAACGTTAAATTAAGTTAAATACCATTAACCATTAAAGAAGTTTGACCATTTAGAAAAAAAAAGAAAAAAGAAATGATGCACCTAAACAGTAGTTAACTCTGTGTGAATGGCCAGATTAGACAATCCAGACTAGATGGTGGTTAGCTCAGTGAGAGAGGCTGGATTATACAATCCAGACCAGACAGTAGTTAGCTCAGTGTGAGTGGCCAGACTAGATGGTGGTTAGCTCAGTGTGGGTGGCCAGATTAGACAATCCAGACTAGATGGTGGTTAGCTCGGCATGTGAGTGGCTGGATTAGACAATCCAGACCAGATAGTGGTTAGCTCGGCATGTGAGTGGCTGGATTAGACAATCCACGCCAGATAGTAGTTAGCTCAGTGTGAGTAGCTGGATTATACAATCCTGACTAAACAGTGGTTAGCTCAGAGTGAGTGGCCAGACTATACAGTCTAGTTAGCTTGGCATGCGAGTGGCTGGATTAGACAACCTAGCCCAGATGGTGCTTAATTTTGTAAAAGCTGATGGAATAGACATTTCATTCTGGCAGAACTATATAGAATTTTTTTACAACCATTAGAGACTGCATGTCATAAATTTTTGAACACCATTCCCAGGAATTTCAGTCCTCTACAACTTTTATCATTATTATCTTTAGTTTATGTTTGATAAACTCTAGCCTCATCCGACAGCTCATGATTGAGGAAATCCCACTTTTGAAATAACCCCATTCGAAATAAAATGTCCTTCTCAGTGCAACTTGGTGCTCTAATGTTGCACTTAAACCTAACTAGAGTACTGCTAGAACAAGCACCATTAGGTGTTGTAGGTAGAAACTACATTATTAGAAGTATATTACCCGATACGTTT